CTGGGAAGAGGCAACAAGCCATGGTGGCGGTGGGCACCGTTGTTGTTGTTGAAGTGGGTCGTCAATTACAATCGATGAAACTCAATCGAACTTTTTTGCTTCTGTACACTCGGTTGAGAAACTCGATCTAGGCAGGAGCGCGATCCACAGGACAAGGTGCTGGCGCGGCCACTCGCGGGTCCACACCGTTGTCACTGCACCGATGCTCGCCAAAAGAGTGTCTTTATATGTACCTGTCGACGGAACCTGGGTCTCCCAAATTGCGTCTCCCTCGTACTATAAGTTGACCAGTGGCTGCACCGCTGCACTAAAAGATGTCGGCGGGAGCGTCTGTCGTGACGAATTCCAAGCACAGGCGCAGAGGCGCTTCCGCAAAATAACCGACGACGAGGACTCATCATCGCCACACAACAACACAATTAAAGGACGCAACTCAAGGTGGTCAGCGACCTTGCGCAGGCGGGATGTATGGCCAATGATACCGCTCTGGCTTTGAGGATGCCCGATGACGTGCGAAAGCGAAAGGTCCGACTACAAGCGGTTGCGTGCTATTTCCACACAGGCAACTGCATAACGTGTCAACTCGCAGACCTTGACCGACTGTTATTGGTGTGCATAATCAGCAGGTTGCAACCGTGTCTTGAGAGGCGTTGCTCGATCGTCACTACGCCCCCTGGACACTGTCTGCGGTGTCTTCTAACCCCAACTATCAAGTGCCAACTCGGACGCACGTAGCGTCGCGGTACGGGGATGACATTTGAGTGCGATTTCCGGCTGTAAATCGCGCCGCAAGACGGTGGTTCGGCGTTCGTGGGTTCAAATACTACCGGTGCACTTGATTTGCCCAATAATGTCTTTCGCGCTCAGAACCGTGTGCAGTCTCGAGCCGCAGGATAGGCCCACGGACTGCGCCACGAGCAACGCCACCGATGCGTCCAGATACGACCCGACACTCGAGCGCAGACTTGGGCGATGTAGTAGGTTTGATGCCGGGTGCAAGTGGTGCTACACTACTGTACTGCAGTGGTGTCAGTCAGCGTCGATAAACTTGCTGTGCATCACCAGCTCCAGAACAATCGACAGTACGCGCGTCATCGCACGCAAATGATACAAATGATAGGTTGAATGCAAGGTTGCTCGTACTGGGACGAGTGTTGTTGGAGGAGCTTGCGGCCAGAAAGCAGGATGGCATATGGACCCGTGACGCTGCTGCGCACAACCGGCTCGGACGTCGGGCAAGCACCTTCACTGGTCGTGTGCATCCGCCACGTGCAGCGATCTTCCGACGAGCGGTCATGAAAAACCAACGATTTATTCCCAAACCCAGCCGTATCGAGCATGCTACACTCGTCCATTCTGCCGCAAAGTAGCTCGGCGTCGCCATCCCCGCCGAGCTATCTCCGCATTATACGCCGGGAGTCTCAACACTTCTGTGGTTGCTCGGCGCGTTCTCCATCTCGTCCGTGCTCTTGTGACACACCCGTTCCTGCTCTGACGCCCCCACACCGCAGTATATATTTTTCGACCAACATAATGACGTCCGTCCAGTGCATTGCGCATCGGCTCGACAACCTTCCGCTGGGCGGCTGTCTCGGCATCTCGGGCTACTACTGGGGCCTCCTCGGGAAGACGGGCCTTGGCTGGGCGATGGACTCGATGGACACGTTCCTCTTCACGTACCTCGGCGCGAAAGGCTGGCAGCTCGACGTGCGCAACAGCGACGGCTCGGCGCTCTCGGGGCACCAAATTGGGCTCCTCGGGTCGGCGGCCTTTGCCGGCTCGTTTGTCGGCGCCATCGCCTTTGGCATGCTCGCCGACGTGTACGGGCGGAAGCCCATGTTCATGCTCACGATGCTCATCTTCATGGTGTCGATGGTGATCTGCGGCGCCGCGACGAGCTACGGGCTCCTCCTCGCGTGTCGCTTCGTTGGTGGCATTGGCCTCGGCGGCGAGCTTCCGGTGGCGTCGACGCTCGTGCAGGAGCTCGCGCCGGCGCCCGTCCGCGGCCGCATGGTCGTGCTGCTCGAATCGTTCTGGTCCATTGGGTGCATGCTGGCCGTCCTCCTCGCGTTC